AAACATATCATATATGTTGGGATCCGAAAAATATTATCAAAGCCAAACTCGAATCTAGACCTAAATAGTGTTCAAATCCAATATTCTGAACCCATACCTAGATTCGGATCCGGTCTATCCCTCGAGTCAAAATCCATTGCCACCCCTAAAAACAAAGCATATTCCTCCAAAGGAGCATAAAATATTTTGGCATTTATATTTCATCAAAACTAATTTTTAAAGTAGCTGGAGCTCATTAACGAGATGCTTGAGGATGTATATGTCATTTGAATCAAACATAATGGCAATTTTAATCCTTATTTTTTAATGGCAAATGCGGCCGTATTTAATAAGGTTGCGAAGTTAGGGTATTGATAGGAGGCCCACTTATCTGAATGCAAAAGTGACGAAATGCGGCATTCCATTTGGTCCATGGCATTAAGCGTTATCTTAGTGCGACACGTGTTATAACTGCTTGCACTCTCTTTTTTTTGTGGGGCCACACATAATGTTTTAAGTTTTCATTTTCACTGACACTTTACTAATTACTTTTAAAAATAAGTAGGATTCTCATTGACGCATTTAAAAACTGCTTATTATTTTTAAAAGTAGGTAAAAGCTTGTATTTTCCACAAATCTATCTATCTACAAATGTATTTCCCACTGATCTACCCCCAAAAAAAACCGTGCTTACCGAGCTGAAAGCAATATGGGCTTCATGCACCACCTTTATTCTACATTTTAGTGTGATAATTTTATATTATTTTATTTTAATTATATAAAAGGCTGTGGAATCGACATATGGGCTTCGCGCTGCACCTTTTTCGTACATTTTAGTGTGGTAATTTTTTAGGGATTGTATACAATTAGATCATTTACCTTTAGTACACAAATGTCATTGTTGTTTATAACTATTTGATGTGAAGTCTGATAGCTTGGGTTCGTCACAAAAATTTTTGAGTTTGGTCAATGGAATAAAAGCAGCTACCTAACTTCACATCTAATGATCAATATTAATTGTGATCATCTTGTACTAAAAGCAAATGGTTTTATTGTATATTTTTTTAATTTTATATATTTTATTTTAATTATATCAATGTAAAATTATATGTATGGGTGTGGTTTACATAAAGTTGCAATCTTAAACAATCCAATTAAGTTGCACCTCTAAATTTTATCATATGTGTAATTTTGATATAAAATTTTTTTATAATGGCTTGAGAATCTATTTTCATCTCTAATTATAAAATTTTAAACTCTAGAAATGGTTTAAATCAAGTAGATCAATAAACACATTAAAATCTTGAAAATGGACGATCCGCATAATGTGTTGCAAGATACACTATGTCACGGACTCAAAATCTTTTTTTTTTTCCTTTCATAGTCATACATCTCGATGTCGAGATGATCAATTAGAGGGTTTTCCAACAACCAAACAACATTTTATAATGGATTTTTGAGGTGCACTTTTAATTCTACATTTTAAGGTTGCGACTTTATATAAACTTTTTTTTGTATTGTATTTTTTATCAAATGAACAAAATTATTTAAGGTCGTAAAATTAAACTGCAGAAAAAAGGCACGCATTAAAAACCCATCAAAAAAGGTTGCTTTGATGGTAAAAAAAAAAAACCCTCTAATTGATCTTCTCGGCCTCAAGATGTATAGATGTAGAAAAAAATAGTATATTTTGTAATGTATTAACTAGACCACCCATTGTCCAGATTTTTTTGTGTTTGCATATCTGCTCGATCTATAGCATTTTTTAATTTAAAATTCATGATTAGATGAAGTAAGTATTTAAGTTAACATTGAAAATTTTGATACCAAAATTACATCTTTGGATGAGTTTTGGATGTGCGCCTTAATTGGATTTATTTAAGGTTGACGCTTTATAGAAACCACACCTTTTACAAAACATGAGATTTGTATGGATAGCCATCTTTAACTATATAAGTAACTTATACTATAAATTTTATCAGATGTAGTTCTAGTGTCAAAAATCTTCTAATGACTTAAAATTTATGTGCAACCCAACTTATAAACACTCTAACATTCCAAAAATAGTACAAATCCAGCAGATCTTTAAACACTTAAAAAATAAACAGTCCATATAACTTGTTGCAAGATGCACTAGTTTTAAAGCTTAAAATTCTTTTTGTTATATATATATATATATATCTCGAGATCGATATGATCAATTGGAAGGTTTTCTAATTTTGAAACACTTTTTTCCACTAAATTTTTTAATTGTACTTACTTCTATAGTATAAGGTTGCAATTTTATATAAGCCTTTTCCTTTTATAAATTTCATATGAACTCAGCCCGACCAGCTTTAATTTATTTGTGTCGGGCCTGGTTTCGGCCCCAGTGCTTAAGTTTTAAGCCTAGATACAAAAACAAATTTTGGCCCTGAACCTAGTCAACACATTTCCATGCTAGGTATCACCTGAGCTTAGTCTTTGGTAGCCTTATTATTAAGAGGATAGCTATTTACTTGTAGTTTGGTCATCTAGGGCCATTTATTCATTATCAGTGATAATTCACTATCTCAAAAAGTTAATCCTGATAACAAATAATTTGTTGTTTTTTAGTATTATGATCGTAAAGTTATCTGAGATGAATTTATGGGCAATTTTACTAAAGGTTTGGTGGTCAAAACGCCTCAATGACGCATTGAGTTCCCTTCCGACCAAAGGTCTACCCAAAAGAGAAAAAAACAAAAGGCCAATTGTAAACACTAGTGAGGAGCACTTTATAGCCTCAAAGTTCTGAAAACAATGCTGATACACGACGTGATCAATTTCAAAATTGAAAATGATTTTGAAGTTTGAAGAAATCATAAATCCGACCATCCATTGGCCAAGTAGACAATCTCTTTTTAAGTGGGTGTGGGATTCAAATCGAGTTGCAGTAGTAATTAACCATGTAATGAAGCTAATACTCAAAACCTCATAAACTAATACTTCTAACCAAAGAGTTTGTATTTGCAATCTTGCCTTTATACACACATAAGTTGTTTAATTTTTGTGGTATAATTCGGATGCATAGGTTAAGCCATAGGATAAAATTGCTATATTTTTGTGACATGAACATATAGAATGCTAACTTGACATGTCACTATTCAAAATGTAAACAAAAAAAATAAAATATATTTATCTCAAAAATGTCATTAATACATCCCTGACCGTAGAGATGATAAAGAAATAATTGTTTTACTACAATCACCGCAAGTAATAGGAACCATAAGGCATTCACATGATGTGGACAGATGAAGGTTCCACGAGCACCATCACAACATTTCAAACTAAAAAAAAAGAGTAAAAAATTAAAAATTAAAATACAAAATTAAATTGTGTCCTTTCCTTAAATCTGAACCATTTAAAGGTGCTTCGCAGCCCTTCTGACACACGACGAGGGCACTATACCATCCCAACAGAAAATTGTTCTATATCTCAAGCACTAGTGAAAGCAGCTTAATCATCAAAATACTACTGTTAGAGTAAGAGATACTCACCTGAAATTGAAGACAAGCAGGCCTCTCCTGTATCTCAAGCACTAGTGAAGGCAGCTTAATCATCAAAATACTATTGTCAGCGTAAGAGAAACTCACTTGTAATTGAAAACCAGCAGGCCCCTCTTGTATCACCTTTAATAAGTTAAATAAAATTTATTTTGATTTAATAAGTTCAAGAGCATATGGACATCTCATGCTTTGCAATTCCAGGGGAAGAGGAATCTAATTAGTGACTTGTCTGACAGCTATAATCAGTAGGATCAGGATCATACAACAGTTCATCTCCATGATCCTTTTTTTTATTTTTTATTTTTTTTTTAATGTTCATATCCTCCATCCTTTTCCATAGCAACAGATACACGATTTAACAGCATTCTCCTCTCAAATAACACTACATAAGATGTAGAATAACTGTTAAAACATCCAAATTGCCTCCCCAAACATGTTTTTTATTTCCCCCCTTTTCATCAGGAAAACACAAGTTACAGTAATTCTTTCCATGATACAATATATACAAGCAGCGTTTTAAAAAACGCCGAGTCGAACCGGACTCACCCGGTTCGACTCGGAAATCGTAAAAGGGGACCGGATTGCTTAAAAAATCGGAAATCGTCCGGTTCTAGAGAGAACCGGACGATTCTGTACAGTGAATCGCCGATTCACTGTACGGAGTCGGCCAGTCCGAACAGTGAATCGGCGAATCCGTTTACGGGTTTTTTTTTTTTTTATTTTTTTTTTTTTATTTTTTTTTTTGAATCCATGATAGATTTTTTTGTAATAC